TCAGCAGAGCAAAGAACAGTCTGTGAAACGGTGACCTGCTGAGTAACATGCAGGCTGTTCTGCTGCAGCATTGATCAGACCAATTCTAAGGAGCAGAAACTGGTAAAACATTGATTCAATAAAGAGAGACACGCTGGTAATGTTTTCTGCTCTTTTATTGGTTTGGAAATGTTTAAGTTCACATTGTTTCAATTAAAAAAAACAAAAAACAATTAGCCTTTTCAGTGAATTACCGTCTGAAATTGCACAATGCCCAGCTGTGAAAACGAGCGCTCCTTTGGGAGGAGATGCATCACAGAAACAGAGAAAAACTAAAATCCCTTTGAGGATGGCGTAGGAAGCGCACACCGGCAGCCCGGTGAAAACACGTCAGAACCTGCATGTAGAGAAGAGCAGGTTCTGTTTCTACAGAGAGCTGAAAGAACGGGGTCAACATCTGGATGAATCATCCCCCAATTCTCTGAAAAACCCGAGAGGATCGTTTATGAACGACCAGGAGAATGTTTCTAGTTACATATTTACATCATGGCTTCCATGTCTGCACAGATAAAACAGTTCATATGTCGACTGAAGAAAACTCTCCTTCCTGAGGATCATTTTCTCAAAAAAACGAAAAATTAAACATAGTTCCTGTTGTGAAATGTCACCAACCCCAAAACTTCTGTTATTAATCAGAGGTTCTGCTGAATAAGTTATAAACAGTCAAAATCTTGCTTGAAAATATTAACTTTGTGTCTCAACTGAACATAAATCCAGATGATTTGGTCCTGGAGGCGAATGCGAAGAAAAAATTAGATCACACACTTTAATGAAGCCTTTATATGGGGGGAATTTTGCTCCATTATTAAAGAACATGTTTTGAAAATGGATGTCTGAAAAAAAAACATTAATAAATTAGATTTTTAAAAAATGAATTATGTTTTTTAAGATCCAGGTTTACAGATCAAATGTTCTTCACCTCTTTCCTTTAGAGTGAGGAGCAAAGACTCGTTCCTATTGGTCTTGAAAACCTTAGCAACATTTTTATTGCTCAGGAACGAGTATTTCTGTTGATCTGTTAAAGACAGCTTGAAAGGATGCAGTCGGTAAAATATCATCTTATAAACATGAATTTGGGAAAAAAAAAAAAAAAAAAGATTGATATAAATCTGCAAGATAAAGTTAAAAAAGTGGAAAGAAAAAAAAATCTGAAAAAAAAAAAAAAATGATTTGACAAAAATAAAAATCTGAGAAAGCAGCTAATTTCTTCTCAGAACCTTTTTTAGTTTAGATGGTTTTCATAGTTTAATTTCCGGATTGTGTTTTATACAAATTTCTATTTACATCTATAAACATGTTTGCAAAAATAATGGAACCAAATTCACTCCATACATGGACATCAGAGAAAGCCATGTTTGCGCTGGAATTAGACTTGGATGTAGGGTAGATTATGTTGCATCATCGCTAAAAAGTATCTCCAATCAGAAAAGGACGTGGAACAAATGGCAAAAAACATAAAAATGAAATATTTTGTGCTTTTTATGCACAAAAAAGCTTCCAACTCTCATTAAAACAACAAGTTCTAGGTAGATAAGCACCAATGAAAACAAGGTGATGGTTTGAAGGGTCATAAAATGGTGAATTCATTCATTTATATCCTGAAGTCCTTTAGAGACGATAAAAGTCAGATTTGGTTCCGATCCAGTTGGACTAGCTACCAGGTTCAGATCTAATCTGGATTTACATTTAATGATGGAGTCATTACTGGAATCTGATATTAACTCTTTAAGGGATGTTTACTGAACCTCATGTCAAAAATTCGTAAAGGAAGCCTTAAAAATCTAAACTCCAGAACCGCTTCGGTTTCCAGAACCAAGCAGAACTTTCCTCTCTGTTGCTGCTGAAATGTTTTTGGCAGTGAATGAAATGGAGGAGGAAGGTTGGAAGGACAACACTGGCATTCAAGTATCAGCGGCCATTTTGAAGCCGAGGATGAGTAGGAGGAGCTAAAACAGGCCAGGATCGATGGCAGGAGGGTCAGAAGGATCAAAACAGAAGGAAGGATTCTACTTCTAGGCTAAAACGGATAAAAACATGAAATAAAAATGTCTGCGAGTCGTTGGTGAGGCTTGGTTTTCTCCCTCTGAGAACCTCTATGCTGACAGGAGTGTTGTTCATTTTGGACCATTTATGATTTATCCCTTTTCTTTTAATGATGAAACGATGATAAAAAAGTTACAAATGAGAACCTATTAGGGGACTTTTTTTTCCCTCCGTTTCCAAACAATGTAAAAATCAAACAGTCGTCCTTTAGTATTTCTGACAAACCAAACCGTTGGCCTCCGAAACTTCTGGTTGTCAGGATGTTGGACCATTCGCTGATCTGAGGTCATGTGAAACATTTGGAAATAGCCTTTTAGCTTTTTTTTTTTTGCCCATTTCGTGAAAAGGACCAGAGCAACTTTCACGGCCAAACAGACCATGATGCTGCCACCACCATGCTCTACAGTAGCTGCCCAGTTCTTCAAAATAAGCTAAATATAAACGTGAAACAAAACCTTCTTTTATTAATTTATGGGATTTGGATTCTTTCTAGTTGGCACCAGTTTACGGATGGATGAAACCTCGCTGGTCGCTGGGTTCTTCCAACATAACGCTGTTTGCAAGACATGGGATGGATGAAGGAGGTCAACATGAAGCTTTATGGTCCATGATTAAAGCTGAAATGATTTCTGCAGGATTTAAAGATTCTTTATGAAATATGAGCTTTTACAGACATATGGACCCCTCTCCAGGGTTCTGACCTTCAGAAAATATGGTTGTTTTACTGAAAGTTCTGAATTTCATCAGAGCAGCATCCCACTGGGTCAGTCTGATAGCTTATAGGATGAGTGTCGCCTCCAAACTCTGAGGAGGACCCTGGAATGGTCGCCCATCAGCTAGAATCCCACCAGAAGCTTTAACAAACCCAGCTTAATAAATACACCTAAAGAGAACGTTTGGAAGGAATGATGGAAAGTTGTTTGGGATGTTTCTCTCCATCCAGGGAGGAGAACAAAGTGGATCATCTGTTCACAAAGTTAAAGAATTAAAAATCAGAAAGTGTGGTTTTGGTTTCCTGCCTCGTTGGGCTTTGGCTCCTCAGATCCGTTCCCTCCAGATGTTCCTGCTGTGGGATTCCTCTGTGGTTTAAAGTTTAAACGCTGGAGGACAGACCGCGTCTCTCAGGGCAGCAACGCTTCGCCTTCTTCCACCCACAGCAGATCCAGCGCCTCCACCTGCCGCAGCTCGCGCTGGTGGATCCTCCGCAGGCGCAGGATGTAGAGCAGGATGGCCAGAACCACCACCAGGAGGCAGAGGGAGAACAGGTGGTGGTTGTAGACGAAAGAGGGCCGCAGCCAGCCGGGGTGGCCCTGCCGCAGCGTCTCCTGCTGCAGATCCCTGCAGAAAGAAAACGCCAAGAGCAGATATGAGGAGACAGGCTGCCAAAAAAAAAACTCATTAAGCAACAAGCAGCTGCTGAGATTCCCAATGTTTACAAAAACAGGAGATATTAAAACACTCCGACATCAACGATGATCTATTCATGCAGGACAGGGTAGCTCCTTATTGGATCAGGAACGTCAGTCGGTCTCTGAAACCTTCTGTTAAAGGGAAACGGATCTACCTGAGCGGCAGGAAGCGCGTTTTGAACAGGATGGCCCCCAGGGTCCACTGCACCTCCTTGTCGTAAACCAACTGGGCCGTTTTCAGGCTCCGGTAGTCGGTGGGAAAGCGGAAGCCGGAGTGCAGCACCTCATGCATCCAGGCTGACTTGAAGCACTGAAGCCTGAGAAAAAGGAGGAGATCAGAAGAACGTGAACGACGCTACTTTGATACGGAACTGAAGACAAAGTTAGTTTGATCCACTGGTTTAACGTCGTAGGGAAGCGGCTGTTCCAACT